TCAGTCAGCATCAGTGGCACATCCATTCTCGGTGAACAATACAAATTGGATAACAGGCCTACTGCTTTTAGAGTTATTTCACCATTGCCATCCGATCTTGCGCATGTGAGTTGCTCTCTCCTTTTCCTTGTTTGAGAAATTGTTTTGGCTCCATCTTTTGCGATGTTGGATTTCCCTTGATTCATCTTCTATTACATCTTGAAATGAAAAATGAAATAAGTACATTGCCCAAACAACAGGCCTTACCTATGTTGCTTGGGCTCAAATATACGCACACGAGTATGTGCCATTCAATTTTCCCAAGATTTTCATTGTTTGGAGAATCCTAGGTGGATCATGTTCCTATACCATATTTGGATGTGTGTTGGGTTTAGATGTTTGGCATGAATGCTTCAGGAAAAATGAAGAGTTGTAACAACATAATTTCTTAGATGTATAGTTATTTATAATGATGAGATCTTCACTTAATGACATAAAACTGGATAGGCTTGTATGCCCTTTGTTGTCAATGAAAGGCAGCTGAAATCTGTTTTGTCAATTATTAGGTTGATGTTTTGAAGGAGCACTTCTCACAATATGGTGACCTTTTCTCTGTGGAGCTGGAGGATGTGGAAAATGATGATGATGGTATGGTATCCGAGACAATAAATTGCTCAGTTCGTATAACTTACAGCACACACCTCTCAGCAGAAAGGGCATTTGTAAATGGCAAATGCTGGCAAGGCAACATTCTGCAGTTTTCATGGCTAACATGTAGCAATTCGAGCAATGACCCTACTAGTGAAGAAACATCATCTTCCACACCAAAGGAGCCTTTAGAAGCTGATGATAACTTTTCATGCAGCGTCCAGGAAGTTGCTTCGGATGACAGGGAGTCCACGAATTCTGATGTTAAGAGTTTTGTTGAGCATACCGGCTTGGCTGAAGTTTCAGAGCATAGTCCATCAACATCCAGCATGAAAGAGTCACCTAAAAGCAAGAAATGTTGAAGATTGAGAGGGGGGGGTTGGGTTGGGTTTGTACAGTAAGGTAAAAACATTCAATTTGTTTAAAGTTGTAGCCACCACAAGGTATAACAGTTCTACTTGACTGGCAATTGTGTTGTGTTTTGAGATTAAATTTTAGTACAAAGGATTAAAAGTAATATATATATATATATATCCATTGATATTTTACTGAAGAAAAGTTAGGGAATTGATTTCCATTTCAGTTTGGCATTTGAGTTTGGAGCTTGTACTGATTTTTAATTCGGAAATTAGAGATATAACCCTGCAAAAGTTACTAAAATTTTCTTAAAAGGTAAAAAGCTACAAGATGAAATGAAATCTGTACATACAAAATTTATAAGCAACCGGCTGGTTATTGCAGTTGAGAGCCAAGCATCTTATGATCATCCAATCTCTTAGCTCTCAATAGACCATTAATTACATATTTGCATGTCAAGGTATTAGGTGCATATCCTAGTTTCATCATTCTATCCTGAAGCCCCATTAACTTATCCATACCGCCACTCTCTGTATATGTCCTCACAAGAAAATTATAGCTTTCGGTATCGAAAATCTGAAATTCTCTGGCAAAGAAGCTCAATAGCAACTCCGCTCTATCAATATCCGATTGCTTGCAGTAGCATTGTATTAGTGCCCTGCTATTTGCGGATCGGGAAGGATATCAGATTCAAGCATTTCTTCCATCAAGGATTCTGCTTCACGAGCTTTACCTACTATACATGATGAGCATATAAGAGCTTTATATGCAACCAGATCAACCTTTATTCTCTTGCATACCATATCAGCTTTCAGGAGCAATGCATCAGTCACACTATTGCACCTGCAGAATGACTGGATCAATTCGTTGTAGATATTCGGTTTAGGAAAATAACCCTCTTGAGAGGTTCTTTCCAGTAGACTCTTTGCGGCGAATGGTCGATCCTCATGGCATAAAGAAACCATCAAAAAGTCATAAATATCTGAAGAGACGGAAACCCTGAATCTCCTTAGCTCTACAACCAAATTCAAAGCTGAAACCAAGCTTCCCTGTTTTGCATATCCTTTCACAAGAACTCGACAAGTAAAACTATCCGGGGAAATCCTGTTCCCTATCATCTCATGCATCAAATTCTTCGAATCTTGCATCCTCCCCTCCTTGCAATAACCAGAAATAAGAGTATTATATGACACAATGTCTGGTTCAATTCCTTGATGAACCATACTATGGAATAACTGATGCGCATCTCTCACTCTCCTTTCTTTACAAAGACCGCTCATCAACACGGTATACGAAACTAAATCTGGCATCTCACCTCTCCTATACATGATCCGATACAAATAGAATGCATCGTTGAGTCTCCCTTTCCTACAATAGCTACTAATCAACGTATTATAGGTTACGAGATCGGGATCAAACCCTTCTTCTTCCATCCTCTCCAAGAACTCATTAACCTTATCAGCATTTCCATCTTTGCAGAAAACATTAGTCAATATATTAAAAGTGTATGTATTCGGACGAATCCCAACTCTCCCCATCTCTTCATACACTAGCCAACACTGATCAATTAAATTCAACCTCAATAATCCATTCAAAAGACAATTACAAGTAATCACAGAGGGCAAATGGCCAACTTCCAATACCTTCCTAAAGGTCTTAATCCCTTCTTTAACCATACCCTTTCTCACATAAGCCTTAACAAGCATATCGAAAACAACAGGATCAAAGTTACAATCTTTGCTACAAAGCACCAAACTTTCAAAACATCTTCACAATTTGAACAAACCCTAACAAAATCAATCAGTTCACACAACAATTCCATTGCCAAAGGGAAGTTCTTAGACCAAGCCAATATATGAACAATGTAACAATAGTTATGTGAAGAAGGTTTAATACCCAAATCATTTTAACCCAGTTGAAGAAAGTTGAAGCTGAGAAAGAATCAGACTGGAATCTCAATAACACCCTTGTGATTTCATGACAACCCAAATGAGGAATGAGGGGTTCTATGTCATTTTTGAGAAGGGTTAATTGAGAATTGTTTTGTTTGAGAAAGGATGAGATGAGGTCTACTATTTTGTTGGGGTTTTGGGTCTCAGGAAGAAGATTGTAAAGTGGACTTATCATCGTTTTGCTCCGAGAGTTTTCAATGGTTTGAAGCGAAGAAGACGAGGTTGAAGAAAAGGGTAATTTTGAAATGGAGTTCCCGTGGAAATTGCCTGATTTTACAAGGCTACGGTTTAAGGTACTGAGCTGAGCTCGAGTCATCAAAAAAGACAAAGATAGAAATAACTTAATCTATAATGTTTCCCTAAGCTCACAGCAGAGCCATGAAGAAATCAAATCGAAGACTACCAATCATAACAATCTCACTAATTTCACCAGAAACCTGAAAATTTGCCGACAATTCGAGCCTTCAAAATTACAAGGAAAATCGAAAGCTTACCCAAAGCAGCCAAGAGCTCAATCAACTCGGAATCAATTATGAGTTTTGACACTGAAAAGAGCGACCTCTGTTTGCAGAGACCTACGGTTTGCTTTGCAGGGAAGCTCCGAGCCTCTTACCGGATGCAAAGAACCAAACATACAATAACAGGCCATCCTAGCCACCAAGCTTTTTGGGCTAATTGATCCACCAATTTGGCAGATTTAGAACTATTAGTGGCCTAATAGAGGTGGACTAATAATTTAAAAAAAGAGTAAATTACGCCTTCATACTTAACGTTTAATTTTTTTAAAACTATACTTAAAGTTTATTTTTTATTTCATTTTAGTACTCATCGTTAAAACCTACAACTTTTATTTCATTTTGGTACCTATAGAAATTAGGTTTTTATACTATGCTATTGGAATTCGTGATAAGAGATGCAATTATGTTTTTACAAGTCAATTCTGGTTTTTTTATGAGTTACCTCATTCATATAATATATGATATTTAGATTTGTATCAAATACGTATATTTTCCCTTCTACTAGGGGCTTTCATTTGTTGATAAAGAAGATTGAATTCCAGAGAAGTATGAAAGCTGATAATAATGCACACATGATGTGTTTAGAGAATCAAAATGATTGCATCCCTGCCAGTTAATTATAATTAATACTAATACATAATTAAGAATGTCTTTACTTTATAATATAAGCTGCACGCACACATATATATACATAGTCGGTGGGTTTAGGTTTGGCCGTGGTGGGTTGAGTTTACGTATAAACTATGGAAGGTAGGTGGCTTCAACAATAGAGTACTCAATATGAAATCATTAGCGTTGTAAAATTATAGCTAAATAACATGGCATAACTTGATACATGCAAATGATCAATTTGTCAATTATGTCAATTCATTTGGTATTTATTAGTATTTTGATCAATATTAAAATTCAAGTCCCAGTAGTAGTCTTATCTGACTGATGAATTATGTGTAGTTAAATAAAATTTTTAGTTCTTGATCAATGTAATATCTTTATTTTGAATTAGGATAATCTCTTCTCGTTTAAAACCATTGGATAAGGATGGATATTTTACTTGAACGTGATGTGTTCTGACTCAACCAATTTCGTAAGATTGTTTTTTAATTCAAGTTTAGGCCGGGTCACGATAGATAAATATAAGGTTGAATTAGGGTTCAAATTTAGAGTGAAATATACTCAATGCAACCTTAAAATAATAGTATAATTTAACTTTACGTATTTATCGATAATTACTACAATATCATTATCTCTATATTTTTTTAATTAAATTCATAGTTTACCTAATAAAAATGTACCAATGGATATATGTGTACAAATACGAATTTTTACATTACTCTGGGTTTGGTTTAATTTATCTATCCAACTCAAGCAAGACAATCAAAATCAACCCTAATGCTAGCTTGAAAAACCTAGAAACTATGATCTTTAAGCTTCTCATGAATCAAATCAATACATATAATCTGGTTGATCTTTAACTTTAGATATAGATTCTTTGAACAAATACATAAGATGTCTCATATAATCATATTAAAAGTTTCATGGAGGTTTAATCAATAATGGCAGCATGTCATGAAAGTACCACAATATATGCCATTGTCACACGCATGGAACTTTAGCAAACTCCATTACTAGAAAACCCTAAAGCTAATCCCAGATGGGGACTTCCCAGTTCCCACCAATAATCTTCTTTGCTTATTTAAGTACATTCATACTGCTTAGCCATGTCAGAGGCTTCCACCATCTGATCCTCCATAAGGTTCACTATTCCACTGAGAATTAGGATAGTAAAAGTTACCGGCATTATGATCGAAACAGGTGCTTCCCGACGTCGGCGCCGCGGGCATCTCATTGCGGGCGCCGGCGGTGTATCGGATTAGATCGGCACGAATGGTGTCCAATTCCCTTTGGAGTCTCATCACCTGTCTCTGGAGAACCGAGATGGCTCCGACACAGCCGTAAACGGGGTCTTTCAACCTCGCCTCGGCTTCGTACGCCAGCGAGTTGATGGCATCTTGTCTTTGATGGGGTGCTACTTCGTTGATCAGTTTGCTAACGTTGCTTGCGCCGAAAATTTTGTGAACATTGAAGAATTTCTGGGGTTCTTCCGGTGGGAAATATGGTGCAAAAGTGCAGTCCGCCATGCATTTTCTCCTCAAGAACTTGCAGGCTGCACATGGGAAGTTTGAAGAGCTGGAAGAAGAAGAAGAAGAAGCCATTTCTCTCTCTCTCTCTCTCTGCAGATACTATGAATTGTTTGCATGGATCAAGAGCATTATAATTTGTCTGTTTTCAATTGCTTAAAGGAAAACACTTTGTGGATCTCTCCAAATTTTGTTTTGAAACAACTTTTTTTCTTTTTCTCACCTGCAAAGCAGCTTTTCTTGAATTTAAATATCATACTGTCAGAAACATTTTCATCTTAAAATTATAAGTCCCCCCCCCAACCCCCCACACCAAACAAAACAAAAGAACATGTATGATTACATTAACATGTGAAGATTCTGTGATTCTTTCTTGGATTTTTTCAAAAATGTTGCATAAAATGAAAACAACCCTATCATCCCAAAGATCTAAATTTCCAACATGCCAGATCTTTCTTTCTTTCTTTCTTTCTTTTTCATGTGAAATATACAGACAGGCACACACATATATAAACTTGTTTTAAATTTCCTTGTGGGGAATAACTTGATAATCTATGATCTTCAAATGAACCACAGAGGAAAGGGTGAAAAACCATAAGAAGAATCAGAGTATATGTATAAAAACATCAGTTACATAGAGTGTTTATAGCAAAAGTTACCAATTTTAAGAGCAGGTTCTTCCAAGTTATGCAGTCCTTTGTTACTTGTTGACACTTTGTTCCAGTGAAGAAGATGACTATGAATCTGTGGAAACCCTAGAGAGGCCTGCAAATAAACAAAGTGAGAAAAAAGTAGGGAAGATGGAGGAAAAAGAAGCATAGGCAAAGAGCATTTTTGAGTGACAAATAATGTATAAAAAAAAAAAAAAAGCAAAAGAGGAAGGAGTAATAATGGGGCTAAGGCTACGCAAGGATCACTTTGACACTGTTGTTATAATTATAATAATAGTATTAGTACCAAATTAAACCACGGTTTCAAGAAACTGGGCACAATGTTTATATATATATATATATATATATTGATGTCAACTGATCATCTAATACACACTTCATTAACTTAATCATCAATGGGTAGGGTTGGTTAAACATATTCTTTTCAATTATTACTTTCATATAACTTCTTATAAACATTCAATAATTCAGTTGGTTGATGATTATTCATGTGCTTCAACAAAATTAAAATTTGAATCTTACCAATAATCCCATTAATTTGATTACTAAAAAAATATACACTATATTGCTAGATCAAGAGTACAATGAAAATGGGACGAAACGGTTTTTTTTAACGGCTCTCTCTCTATCCCGAAAACTAAATAATGTTATCTGATGTCGATTCATCTTGATATTAAATAATGTAAAATGCTTTAAATTTATCCTGATTTGATCAGACACAAGTGATTTTTTTCGACAAGATAGAATGCATGAGTATTATAGTTTAATTAAAAAATTTAAATTATTTAATTTATTTAGGGTTTAATTAAAATTTTAGAGAGACTTGACATGAATTTTTTTAAAATTATGGGAGAGGATTTAATTAAAAACATTAGAAAATTTTAATTTTAGGGATCAAATTAATTAGGGCATCAAAATATAGAGTCTATAGAATCCACAACAAATATTAAGTTCAAGAAAGATTCGAAATTATAATATAAGCAGAGAGAATAAGCTTGAATATGTGTTTACATAACTTTCTTTTATGCATGAACCTACGGTATTGATTGTTCAACATGTGTAAAACCATATGTTTATCATGTATTGTTAATTCTGACGGTCCAAATATATATATATTTTTATTATTTATTTTTTTAATAAAAAAATGGAGATAGTGTGACCAATGATTGAAGAAGAATATATATAGAACTGATGATAATCTAAATTAGATTATGGTCACGATGATTATGATTATGATACATTGGATATCTCTATTCTCTACCTTTACCTTCCTTTTCTATTCCTTGCAATGCATGTGCCTTACCAATATTCTCTTTTCCAATATATATTGTATAATACGGATCTGCCCATGAATTCAATTTTCTATTATTTAATTTCATTATAAAAATACTTCATTATTTAAATAATAAAACAAATCGATATACCAAATTTAAATAGAGTATCACATCATCATCGTTAACTGCTACATCAATACTGTAAATAACAACAAATATCGTTAAAGGATGGAATTAGTGTAATTAAATGAGTTCGAGAATAAAATTGATACAATTAAGATGTATGAGTCAAATTATTGATTGAGTTTATCATACGGGTAAAATAATCCCTTAAATTTAAATAAAATAAATTACTATTTTTTATTAAACTGGGTGGTTAAAATATAATATAATATATGTTCAGAAGACTCTCAATCATTTGACAATAAACGCTTAAATACCTTTGTAAACGCCTTACCCAAACCTGAGATTTCTAAAGATAGCAATCATCATTTAACTACTGAAATCGATTGGTCTATATAAATATAATAAATATATATCATGAGTCAATTTAACGCTAACTCAAGTAGAAAAAGATTAAAATAATTTTTAATAATAATTAATATTATTATAAAAATATTTTTATCTTCATATTTTTTAATATTTTAAATAAAATAAAATTAGATCTTATAAATTTGTATATAAATATTTTATTATTTTATTTATAATCATTGTTTGAAATATTTTATTAAGAATATATATTTTTAGATTGTTTGGTTTAATTAAATGGCATCAATTAAAAAAATAAAAAAAATCAAAATATAAATTTACAAGATTATAATAATAATTCAATTTTTTTAAAAATAAATAATAAGTATGATTGAATAAATTTTATTTGAAAATTTTTTTTTTACACTTCTAGTATTAAAATATTGATGTGAAAATATTTGGCATTTATGATTTATGTATTTTGAGCTTTGCGAATGGTGGGCTTGATCTGGCTCTAGAAATCTAAGATCATTGGGCCGAGATTCAGCACGATAATCATTTGGGTCTTTGTCTGTAGTTAGTCAAAAGATGAGAACTGCAGAGAAGATAACTGCAGCGAACTCAGCTCGGTTGTGCGTCTATTTGGGAAGACAGAAACTACAAAAAAAAGTAACTATCTGACGAGAATTATTTTCTTTTCTGATTTTTATTTGTTTGAATTTGAATTTCCGATGTTATTCTTATATAAATTTCCAAATTTGCTATAATTTATCCCGTTCTTTTATTCAAGATCAACTGTTTAGAAGAAAGTTTACTGTGTGTTTTTTTCCCTTCTGATTTCATGTGAAACTGATTTGGAAAATTTTCACATTTGATGGATCATGAGGTGGAAGTTACAGAAGAATTATCCTTTATTTTTGTTAGATTAGTGAATCAAGGTTGGTTACCTTGAAATTCCTTGTGAATTTCCAGCAAAATGTGTTCAGTTGCTTTCTTTTCTGATATAGAATTGTTCGTTTGCTAAGACATGTTATTACACCTTTTTATAAGATATTAGATTGTTTCTGCATTTGGACAGTGTGACAAGGAATGCATCATTGTCGAGTTTACTGTCATAGTGAATTATAATGTCGGGATTAGAAGAGTTAAAGAAGAAGCTAGCACCTTTATTTGATGCCGAGAAGGGCTTCTCGTCTGGATCTACACTTGATCCTTATGATTCGTATATGGTAAACTTCGCCATTGATGAGTTGAATGTGATCATGAAGCTAGTTTTTATCCTTTGATTCTTACATAAATGATTTTTTTGTGGGGTTGTTTGAAGCTTTCTGATGGTGGAACTGTCAACTTATTGAGTAGATCATATGGAGTGTATAACATTAATGAGCTTGGGTTGCAAAAATGCACATCTTCACCCGTGGACGATACAGAACAAGGTGAAAAGACGTATCGGTGTGCATCTCATGAGATGCGGATATTTGGGGCGATAGGTAGTGGTGCAAGCAGTGTTGTTCAAAGAGCTATGCATATTCCCTCTCATAGAATTCTTGCATTGAAGAAAATTAATATATTTGAGAAGGTAATTTTGCTGCAAAGATGTACTTGTTTGTCGCTTAAAGGTCAGCTAGATTTATTATGATAGTGAAGAGCATCATGTGGTTGTAGATTTGGCTTACATCGATATTGATTTTTGCATATTAGGAGAAAAGACAACAGCTTTTGACAGAAATACGAACGCTTTGTGAGGCACCTTGTTCTGAGGGCCTTGTGGAATTCCATGGAGCTTTCTATTCCCCTGACTCGGGGCAAATAAGCATAGCTTTAGAGTACATGGATGGAGGGTCACTGGCAGATATCTTGAGATTGAGGAAAAGTATGCCGGAACCAGTCCTTTCATCTATGTTTCAGAAGCTCCTGCAGGTAATAATATCTCATAGTGTTTCTGTTTTGGTTTTCCAAATGAAAAAGGTTGTGACTGGCCTATAAATGGTGCATGTTTTTAAGTTGAAACCACATCTCGTATCATCCAGGGGCTGAACTACTTGCATGGAGTAAGGCATTTGGTTCACAGAGACATCAAGCCTGCAAATTTGCTCGTAAATCTAAAGGGGGAGCCCAAAATAACAGATTTTGGCATAAGTGCTGGCCTAGATAATTCAATGGCAATGGTTAGTCATTAGATTTTAATTAATTTTTGCTTGCTTTTTTCTTTGCTGCCAGTACCTTCGGTTATATTAGTTTATCAAGAGTTATTTTCACTGATGTTTATCTTGAAGACGATAATAAGTTATTAAAATCTATTATAAATGTCTAACAACTGATTCGGACTTGTTATTAGTGTGCTACCTTTGTTGGAACTGTTACATACATGTCACCAGAGCGAATTCGAAATGATAGCTATTCTTATCCTGCTGATATATGGAGCCTTGGTCTTGCTCTCTTTGAGTGCGGCACTGGAGAATTTCCATATACAGCCAATGAAGGACCTGTTAATCTCATGTTGCAGGTGATATACCATTTCCTTTAATACAGATCTTTCAACATTAAATGTTGCCTGAAACATTACATATTATTCTTTGTTCATTTATTCTGACATTAATATTTCTGAATTTCCATGGAAGATCTTGGACGATCCATCCCCATCACCACCAAAAGACAAATTTTCACTAGAGTTCTGTTCATTTATTGATGCTTGCCTGCAGAAGGATGCAGATGGCAGACCAACAGCAGAGCAGGTAACTTGTACTCCTCAGTGAATATATGACCTATGTTACCTAAAATCATTTGTGAGTTTCAGACATGGGCATGGATCTAACTGGGATATGTTAATTTTTTTTCTAAGATTTATGTGTATTTGGAGAGTCTTTGAAGGATCATATCCCATATCTATGTCTGGATATGTGTTGGATACAGGTGTTGGACACTGGTACTTCAAAAAAAATTTAAAAAAAAATTAAGAGTTAGAACAACATAGAGTATGGCAGTTCAAACTTAGAATATGCTGAACTGATATTGTCTGATTGTAGCTTCTTTCCCACCCGTTTATCAAAAAGCATGAGCATGCTGGAGTTGACTTAGCAGCATTTGTTCGAAGCGTTTTTGATCCAACACAAAGACTGAAAGATTTGGCTGATGTGAGTACATTAACTATTATTTAATTATTTTGCATTACATTCGAACAGTTATGTTTGAGCTAGAGTGCATCATTTTCATTTTTTCATTGGCACATAGGACGTAGGAATGAAATTTAAGATATTCTTTCAAACTTCGAATATAGTCCAATTTATTTAAGAGAAAATAACCTCAGTGACCGAAAATGCCGTGTAATATACGATTTTGACCAACTTTTTTTGGATTTGCCAAAATGACCAAGTAAATCGCAATGCGATCGATAATTCGCAACGCGATCTCTGGTATCGCAAATCAGTTTCCAGATTCGCAATGCGATAGTCGAAGTTCGCGTTGCGATTCATTCCAATTCGTTGCGACAGGCGAAATTCGCATTGCGATTCATTCCAATTCGTTGCGACAGGCGAAGTTCGCATTGCGATTCATTCCAATTCGTTGCGACAGGCGAAGTTCGCATTGCGACAGGCGAAGTTCGCGTTGCGATTCATTCCAATTCGTTGCGACAGGCGAAGTTCGCGTTGCGATTCATTCCAATTCGTTGCGACAGGCGAAGTTCGCGTTGCGATTCATTCCAAATTCGTTGCGATTCATTCCAATTCGTTGCGACAGGCGAAGTTCGCGTTGCGATTCATTCCAAATTCGTTGCGATAGGCGAAGTTCGCGTTGCGAGTCATTCCAAATTCGTTGCGATAGTCCAAATATTGCATTTGTTTCTTAAGAATTTTTTCTAAAAAGATAGAATTCGCGCGGACGTGTCGAAGACACGTATTACCACGACCACGACCTCGACCCGAGACGGGACGGGACCAATAATGTTTCCAATACTATGTGGGATTGAGCATTACCAACACTTGTTTTCAATATCATTACTTTCATTGTCTGTAAGAGTTTAATTTTGAAACTAAAAAATATTTATTCGAATAAATAACTTACCCTTTGAGGATTTTGATCATAAATGAAGTAATTGCTAAAACTAACTCTGATTCGGGTTCTTATAGTGTTCAAATGACTTACTTGCAAAGAGTAGATGATGACCAAACAACTCGATATGTTTCCTTTGTGTCATTATCAGCTAGTTTTCGTAGCATCCTCAGTTGAAAACTTACATCATTGTCTCCTTTGCATTTGTTTGGTTAATATTTTTCTTCCATCAAAGTCCTCAAAGGGTAAGTTATTTATTCGAATAAATATTTTTTTAGTTTCAAAATTTAACTCTTACAGACAATGAAGGTAATGGTATTGGAAACAAGTGTTGGTAATGCTCAATCCCACATAGTATTGGAAATACTATTGGGAATGGTATTTAAGGCTTGACTTTCCCACTTCCTTGTTGAGTGATAGAGAACAAGGGGGACTCTCGCGCGCCGCCGTCCCGCCGCCGTCCCGTCTCGGGTAGGGTCGTGGTCGTGGTAATACGTGTCTTCGACACGTTCGCGTGAATTCTATTTTTTTAGAGAAAATTCTTAAGAAACAAATGCAATATTTGGACTATCGCAACAAATTTGGAATGAATCGCAACGCGAACTTCGCCTGTCGCAACGAATTGGAATGAATCGCAACGCGAACTTCGCCTGTCGCAACGAATTGGAATGAATCGCAACGCGAACTTCGCCTGTCGCAACGAATTGGAATGAATCGCAACGCGAACTTCGACTATCGCGTTGCGAATCTTGAAACTGATTTGCGATACCGGAGATCGCGTTGCGAATTATCGATCGCATTGCGATTTACTTGGTCATTTTGGCAAATCCAAAAAAAGTTGGTCAAAATCGTATATTACAAGGCATTTTCGGTCACCGAGGTTATTTTCTATTTATTTAAACCCTTTTTCTGATTATAAGATCAAAATTAGAATATCAATCATTATTTTTGTGGTTAGCAGATTGATATCTGTTAAAACAATTTTCTGTTGCTAATAGTCGAAAGGCTTGCCAACAAGAATAGAAATCAGGTTTATGTGGTCTTGCCTGATTTATCTATTAGTTTGTTTCGATCCGAGTACTTTCACTGACAAATATTGAATTTTTTTCCCCGCTAAACTTTGGGCGAAGATAGAACAGATGGTCTGATTGTACTATGATAAGGCATTTAAGTCCGAATAATTTCGATTTAATGTAGAAAAGTTAACGGAACTTGAAATTCACATATTATTTATCTTATCTTTTTTATTTATGTTTAATACTAACAGTAATATTTGCATGATCAGATGTTGACATTACACTATTACTTACTATTTGATGGACCAGACGAAAACTGGCAGCATGCAAGGACCCTGTACAATGAAGATTCAACTTTTAGGTAACAAACTATTAAGTGTGTCTTCCTATCATTCTTTTCATGGTACATCAGTAGAATAATCCCCCGGCTTTGCATATGTCTTGCTTTTTTAGTTCTCTTCAGGCTTCAACGACATTATGATGTAAGATAATAAACATTTATTCTCCCAACCAATGTACCATCAGAAACATTTATGCAGAAGCTAATTAAGAAGATTAGGATACCATTTAAAGCTTTATGGTTGAACGTCCATATGGCAAAAGTATTATAGTTATGAAATATTTTTGAACTTGGTTAAACTTTTGTGGATAGCACATTGTGCCTTTTTGGTTCATGTCTATTAAGAGGAATATGTACTTTTTTTTCCAGTTTCTCGGGGAAGCAGTTTGTTGGTCCAAATGATATCCATGCGATGCTTTCCAGTATCCGGAGCACATTAGCTGGTGACTGGCCCCCTGAAAAGCTTGTACATGTTGTAGAAAAACTTCAATGCCGTGCACATGGTCAAGATGGAGTAGCGATCCGTGTCTCGGGATCTTTCATCGCCGGAAATCAGTTTCTAATCTGTGGCGATGGCTTACAAGTAGAGGGCATGCCTAACTTTAAAGATCTTTCTATCGATATTCCTAGTAAGCGAATGGGTACATTTCAGGAGCAATTCATAATGGAACCAGGAAATCTCATCGGTTGCTACGTTATAGCTAAACAAGAACTTTACATTCTTCAATAGGCAAACCACAAGCACGCTCTCCTCTGAGGTTAGTAGCTCTTGACCTGTTCACAATGTTGACGCTAACATCCGGTTTCTTCTTGCCATCGGATTGGTTATAACAGTGCTGTAATGAGAATTTCCTCGTTATTTAGATAAATTACTGTTTCTTATTACATCTTCTATTACTTCTTCAATTCCCTCCTTCCATTGTTGACCATGGCTTGCATGTAGTCCATGTTGGTATTCTGCCGATTAGAGTAAGCCGCGCGTTCTGCCTTTGTAACATATAAGATAAAACTATTGCCATGGTCATTGGTGTAATTTGCTGAACTTATCAATACACAGATGTGTAGACCGACTGATAATGAGTCCAGGATTTGTTATATATTTGAAGAATCATCCTATATTTTCCAAACACATACTTTAACATAAAATTCCATAACTAATCAAATGGCAGGAGCATTGGGCTCTAATTCAATTGCCATTGTTCTTGAAATGTACATTTGGTACGACTGAAGAATATGAGCTACCAGGTTGCTTTATTTGAATAAACATTATCTATAGATGTCAAATATGCTCATACCTATATCTGACTAAACATTATATATAAATTCGAATAAAACCATAAATAAATGTCAAATATGATTATTCAAAGGAAAATGAAGTGCAGATGTGAAATAGCTATGGATCCCTATCCGTCCTTCCTGCAAGAAATATTAGAATATTAGCATCGGCTAGCATATTTTGCATATTATGTATGTCTATCAATTCATGGATATAATAATTGTTTTTTTTAATTTACCATATATTACTATTCCCGCCGGAAAAGTAATAATGGAAATGTATAATTATTTGAAATTAGGGTTAACTACATGCAAAATCACTCACGTTTATGTTTTGTTTATTTTTTGTCACTGATTTCAAAAAATATAAGATATGGTCACTTTCGCTTTTATTTAATTAAAACGTGGTGACCCCGAGCTAACTTCCGTTAACAACAGTTAAATATTTTGATATAATCACACATTTGGTCCATGTTATTTATATATTCCCTCAATTTAGTTATACTTTTAATAAATTAAAATAAATTTAATCCTCCAATCGAATAATGTCACATGTCATGCCACGTAGAGGTGAGTATTCGATCGAGCCGAGTCGAGTCAAAATTTTTTGAGTTATTCGAGTTGACGAGTCCTATTTTACAACTCGGAGTTGACTAAGAATTTTTTCGAGTCGAGTCAAAATTTCGAGTTTATGTTTAAATTTAATTATAAATATTTATTAAAAAAATAATGGAGAAAATCAACTTCCAATTAAAAAATTAAATTTTGTTTCTTAGAACAAAGCTCTTAGCATTTGTTTTCTGATTCCTTTTCTTTCCTTTCTCTTGTTTGGATCGGAGCTTGAACAGTTTCTTTGAAGGAGAGAACACTAAAACAAGGCAAAATCCCCACAAACTATAAAGGAAAGCTGTTTCACTTTTCTGATTTCTCCTCAATGAACAGCTTCCTTTTGAGAAAAAAAAAATTCTGGGCTTTCCATTTCATGGAAAATATCACCTTCTCCTGCATTCTTTTCCCTGTTCTGTGATCGGGTAACCTGGCTCTGGCCTCTATAAATTTCCTTTTTCTATGATGGGTTCTTTTCTTTTTCTCTATTGATGAAGATTATATATATAAATAAATGAAGCTTGCTTTTCTGTTTAATGCTTTTTCTTAGTATCTCTGTAATCTTTAGTGTTTTCTTTAATTGTCAGATTTGCTGGTGATGATGACTATATTTTGTTTGAATTTAAGACTGCAACTTTAAATCATCATTTCTTGGTTTTGAATAAATCCTTAGCATGTGACCGTTTGTTTTTTGTAACCGTTCTGTTTGGGACATTAAAGTTGCTAGTTTCTGCAATTAATGGCTTCACCTATATATATGAAGTTAAACTTTGCTGAATTTGACTTTGGTTTGGCATTGATAGGTGTTCTTGAATTGTTAATGGAATCCATTGCTATTTCTTCATCAAAGAATCAAACTCCAGGTTCTGATATGGGAAGCAATAGCCTTCCTTTGATGTCTGGGATGCCTCGGCGGCCTTCTAGGCCTCAATTACCGAAACACTCTGAAAATGAAGGGCTTTCGTCTACATATCATGGTGTTAGGATCGAACGATATCCAGATGGTTCGATATGTTCTCGAAAGCATTCATTTAAATCAGCCTGTGACAACATGGTGTGTGAAGAATTGCCTAATATGGCAGAACTCTACTATGATTCTAGCAAGACGAAATCCGAATCGGTGGGAAAGATTTCGGCGGTGGCTAACAAATCTTCCTTCAAACATCCCGTTGATGATCGTAAGAGTTCCAGTTCCATTGATCCATTGGAATATGAAACAACTGTGCATGGTGTACATTATCATGATTTGAGTAAGCGGAACTCGAAATCAGTAGGAAAAAATTTGACAATGACAGGTGAAGCTTCCTTCAAACATCCCATTGATGATCCTAAGAGATCTAGTTCCATTGCTTCATCGGATTATGAAACAACTGTGCATGGTGTACATTATTATGATTCGAGTAAGGCGGAATCCGAATCAGTGGGAAAGATTCCAAGAATAAGAAGCAAATATTCCTTCAAACATCTCACTGATGAACATAAGAGTTGCAATTCCATTGGTTCATTGGAATATGAAAAGCTTGAGCCCGGTGTTATGCATTTGAACAACCTCATTGTACCACAATCAGAACCAAGCATTTGTCTGAGCCGTTCAAGTAGTTACCGCACGGGGTCGCTCTATGCCGAAGCAAAACAAAGTTTCACCAATACAGAAAGTGATGAAAGTGATGAAGTGAGTAGGAAGATAAGCATCAATAGAGAGAGCAATGCCAGTTATGTTAGTGATGAAAGCGGCTCGAGTTGTTCGATCAGTATCATTTACAAGCCCCACAACGCAAATGATATAAGATGGGCTGCAATCCAAGCTGTTAGAGCAAGGAAATGAGACTTGGACTTTAAGCACTTTAGGGTGTTGAGGAGACTGGGATGTGGGGATATAGGGAGTGTTTATCAATCGGTACTGACCGGCACAAACACTTATTTCGCCATGAAAGTCATGGATAAAGCTCTTTTGGCAAGTCGAAAGAAGCTTCTTCGAGCACAAACCGAGAGAGAGATTCTCCGATCTTTGGATCATCCGTTTCTCCCCACCTTGTATACTCATTTCGAGACAGAGAAGCTTTCTTGCTTGGTTATGGAGTTTTGCCCTGGAGGAGACTTGCATGCTCTCAGGCAAAGACAACCTGGAAAGTACTTTCCAGAGCAAGCTGCCAGGTTAGCTCCTCATTCTCTTACTCGGACTCGAGTGTAAGTGTACGATATAACACTGCTAGGAAATGCCATTGATCTTCTTCTTTCGTTCTGCAGATTTTACATGGCCGAAGTTCTCTTCGCTTTGGAGTATCTGCACATGCTTGGGATCATTTACAGAGACCTTAAACCTGAGAATGCTTTGGTCCGAGAAGATGGACACCTAATGCTTTCGGATTTCGATCTCTCTCTTAGATGTACCGTCTCGCCGACACTGGTTAAATCATCAAACTAGACCCTGGAATCGAAAACTTCAGCATTCTGTACTCAGCCTGCATGTTTGCAGCCAACATGTGTAATGCAGCCATATTGTATTCAGCCTGCATGTTATGGACCGCCTTTTTTTTCGAGCAAGCATAAGAAAGAAAAGAAGAGCAAAATGAAGAACGAATCGACTCATCAAGTGAGTCTTCTCCCTGAGCTTCTTGCCGAACCTACCAACGCTCGATTGATGTCCTTTGTTGGCACTCACGAGTACTTGGCCATTAAAGGTGAAGGCCATGGAAGTGCTGTCGATTGGTGGACATTCGGGATTTTTCTATACGAACTCTTTTTCGGAAAAACCCCATTCAAGGGGGCCGAAAACCGGACGACACTCTTTAACATAATCGGCCAGCCACTGAAATTTCCAGATCACCCCAATGCGAGCTTTGCAGCGAGGGACTTAATCCGAGGCTTACTCGTAAAGGAACCACAGCATCGGCTTGCACACAGGCGTGGTGCTACTGAAATTAAACAACATTCGTTCTTTCAGACTGTCAATTGGGCACTCATTCGCCAGACGCGACATGGCAAAAGTTTCCATGAACAACATGGTCCCAGGTTTAGATGTTCAGCCTTCTGGTAACTATTTGGAGATTGATTTCTTTTGATTATTTCTTTTGTTTTCTTTCTTAGAAACAATGTTGTGAACACCGAAGTTGAAAAGCATCAGTTGAGACATGCAAATGAATTGAAATGAGGAATTAAGCTGCTTCTCGTCGTCTTCTTTTTAAAGTATCTATCTTTATCATTTGTATAAGATATGATTTTTACAAATCCATATCCGATATTTCCCAAATTTGTAAATTATTTTGATCTTTTAGAATTGAAATCGAAATTAAATGACATAAAAATCAAAATTTTCCATTAGATTTGGTTTGATCTTGTAGTTTTAATTTTTTGACATTTTTTTTAAATTAATATCTAAAGAAAGTAAACTTCAAGTTTAAACTCCTAAGCTGGGTCTAGGGGTTACATTAACAGTGATGTAAGTTCGAAACGTTTAGCTTTACATACCCAGTAATGTCTTTGAAAGGCTGAAGCTTTTTGTTTCTTTTTTATACGTAGGTTTTGCCTCAATGGTCCGCCCTTCCAGTCGGAGAGAAGTTCTATCCCTCGGACACTGAGCTTTTAAATCATTTAGCGGCAAAATGCGGCGTTGGAGGCTCGACGGCACATCCGTTTATCGACGATTTTATCCCTACGCTTGAGGAGGATAAGGGAATTTGCTACACGCATCCTGAAAATCTTCCTGGTAAGAGTTAATGCATTCTAGTATATGCCCAAATTTGATTATAATGAGCATTTCATCTTATTTTCTGCAGGTGCAAAGAAGGATGGAAGCAGTATTCAATTCTTTCATCGGACGATCAATGCTTACGGTACCGGTGGACGAAAGCGTCGCAGAATCCGAAGCCAATATAGTATCACCGAGGAGTATCGTTGGCATAAGACCGGAAAGACCAAACCCGTCATAGAGAATGGAGTTCACCAGGGCTGGAAGAAGATCATGGTTCTCTTATAAACGTTCGAAGCGAGTTCGTAAATCCGAAGAGTCAAATTGGGTGATGCACCAGTACCATTTAGGGGCTGAAGAAGAAGAGCATGATGGGGAATATGTGGTTTCTAAAATCACATATCGACATCCAAAACAAACTGAGTGATGGTAGTGTAAGCATTGAAGCGCCGGATGACTCGAGAATTAGGGATGCATGAAGATGACATTGATGAAGACATGTCTCACAATCCAATTTTTTTTTACCTTAGTTAATTTTTCCATACAACAGCGCTGGTCTTATTGACATTCTATAAAATTTTTCACCTTCTTGTCACACAAAACTCCAGTAGCGGCCATTCACTTTAACCATCCCACCTTTATACGGTGTGTAACGTCATCATCTACACCCATCTTTATGTATCATAGACCCTAGGTACTTGTAACAATAGGATTTGATTGACACCCGTCGAGTACGAGTCAAATGTTTACCCATAATTTTAACTGAATAAAAGTATATGCCCTATTATTTTTTATTTAAGATTAAGTTAGATAGAATATTACTAAATTTTGTTTTAGGGCGATTCTCTCGAGTTATTAATTTTTAGTATTGTATACCTTAATTTTGAAGCAAGTCGGCACTAGATAATATATTTCCAGTTTTAGTTTTGGACCAGATTTTTTTTCCTATTTAGTCCAAACTTAATTTCAAGTGGGGCCGGAAAATAACCAAGAAGAGTGGCACGTTTGAATCTAACAAGTGGCAAAGATGGAAATCTTCCTATAAATATTCCACGTGTCAATAACTAAGACTTAACCAAGACAAAAAGTAGAAAAATCAAAATTATCCATCGATTAACTTTTAATTCATTAATTAATTAATTAAATTTCATAAAATATTACTCTTATTTATTATTAATTTTCCTTATAATATTTTTCAATTTAACAAAGAGGCCCCCCATCAGCGTGTATTCTCTATTATACTAATTATTACAGAGTAACAGTATTTAATTCAAACATCATTTGAGAAAAAAAGAAAATAAATAACTTCTGATCAAATTAATTGGTCGATTGAAGTGAAAAATCTAAGCTTCAACTTGGAAGTAATCTGGCAAAACAGACGACATTCTATTTCCGACGAAGATAGGAAACAGGAAACGATGTCGTCTCCGGACATTGCTTCAATCTTGGAAAACTCGAGGGAACTCGATCGGTTGAGGAAAGATCAAGAGGATGTGCTCGCCGAAATCAACAAGCTTCACAAGAAGCTTCAAGCTAGTAAAATTCTCAACCTTTTTCTGGTTTAGCTTCAGATTTCATGATCTGGGTTGATTTTTTTGGTCACTGTGATTATTGGGTTTGTTTTAGATTATTGAAATACGGTCATTATAACTTTCTGGGTTTTGTATTGTTCCATTCGAACAATTGATTCTTGAGTTGGGTTTGGTTTAAAAGAGCTTAAATTTTGTTGATGATGGAATGTATTGGATGAGTAAGCTAACTTTTTTGCATATTATTGCTAATTGCTTAATTTATGAATATTCTTTTCGTTTTTAGGAGAAAAGGAGAATAGAGATAATCAAATAGCAAAAGATAGGACAATTTACATTGGCTTGCTTTAAAACTTGGTTGCATTTGTTTTTTAGGTAAAGAAGCTAAGTTCTTGTGAATTGGTTTACTAGGTTTTATGATCAAAATTGTGGTATAATATTAAGTGTGGTATATGTGACATGTAAGTTTGGTGTTAAGGATTTGCCTCTAGGATAATAAAACAAACTATTTAGCTATAAAAATGGCTGCCTATGTGGCCGAGTTTTCATGGAGAGTCGAAGTTATGTGATTTTCCGGTGTTATTCGTTAGATGCTTGGAATTCCATGTAGAGAGTGGTTAAACTTGCTTGTAGATTAATGGTCAAAGCTTCATGTATAATTACCTTTTAAATAGTGAACCACATAATACTCGTATCATAACTTTGCTCCTATATTCTTTTTCTCCGAAATGTTTTGATTGATTTAATTGAGAATGATTGCACAAAAGATGTCAGAAATCAGAATATTCTACAAATTAACAACAAACTGTGTGTATTGGAACACTAAAAGTAGTGTTGTTAATTTGATATGGTATAAGCTCGATTAAAAGTTTCTTAGATGCACGTAGTTGACAATCAGGAGTATAGAAGTAGCATGGGAGGAATTTTTAGATCCATCATTTCCTATCATTTAAACATTAACAGAAACTACGGGATGCGTTTGGATGAAGAATTTTTGTGGCTCTTGAATAATGACTTGAGGTTTAGAGATTTCAACAAATAATCAATTTCTGGATTGTTGTCTTGCATAGAGCAACTTATTACAGCTTTAATGAGTAGAAAGTTTACTTAGAAATCTTGGATCAAATGATTAAATTGTATTCTTTAAGATTCGAGAATCATTTCTCTCTCTTCTTTTACTTTATTTGTCCTTATTCCTGTTTAATTATTACTGTCAGTGATAGTTTATGCTAATCCTGAACTTTTGTATATAAATGCAGCTCCTGAGGTAGTTGAGAAACCTGGCGATTCTTCATTGTCGAAGCTGAAAACTTTATATATTCAAGCTAGAGATCTTTCAGAAAAAGAAGTAACGTATGCTCACTATCTCTAACAAAGTCTTGTTCAATTTGCTTAGTCCTTTCTCTTTCTCTCCCCCCATTTTCTAGTAAATCCGCGGCTTGTATTTTCGAGTGTAGGAATCAACTTTCTGGCTAGATTTCGTATTTCCAAGTACCGTTTCCATTGTTTTGACCAACCCCTTTTTTGGAATTGATACAGGATTTCCGGCTTGTTAGTAAGTCAACTTGATGCTTTCTTGCCATCTGGACCTCCGGGACAACAACGAAGAAAGATCGGTGTGTGCTACCAACTATGTCTAGCTTGGACGTTTCAGTTGATTTAAATCCCTTTGCATGATAATATTTAGGCTCCGGTTGATAATGTCTAGCTTTGCATTATATTTATACCTCGTTTTCATTTTATTGCTGCATTTCACTTTTTATCGAGAAAAGTAAAGGAAAGCAAGAAGCAAATAGAAAAAGTATCAACCAAACTAAGCCCTACGAATCTTAAAAATCCATTATTATAAAGTTAAAAGCTAAGGTTATATCTGGACACCATGGCACTTTTCTTTAACTGTGGAAGGGTTAGCAGCAGCCTGCGGTTATATAGTAATGAAGAAGATTTTCTACCTTATACCTCTCTTTCCCTTTCTAATAGTACAGTAGGTGAGTCATTTACTGAAACATATAGTTGCTTGGCCGATGACAGAAAAGTTGTTGAAGTGATATGACCCCAGGTTCCGAATTTATATTGTTATAGTTGCAATTCTTAAGTTTTATGCTCTCTCTGTTTTTCTGAAGCTCGAACATTGAATGTATGAGATGTACCGAAAAGGAAAATTCATTTCTTTGTGTAGATTTCGGATACTAGTATAAGAGTATTGGAACTGCCCTTTTTGTGTAGCTGTGCCTGACATTAAACAAATTGCAGATGGTAATGATCAAAAAAGGAAAAGAGTGAAATCTGATTTGGATATTTCCCGCCTCTCTCCTTCTATGCGGAGTCATATCGAAGCTTGTGTTAGCCTCAAAGATGAGCAGGTAAGTTTTTAGACTCATGTAGCAAACATGAAAACCAGATTCCATTAGTTTGTTGTAATCAGTCGTTGATATTTTGTTCGTAGACCAAATTTTTTTGTGCTCTTATGCCCAGGTTGCTGCAAGAGTCACCTCGGATGCTGAGAAGGACGAGTGGTTCGTTGTGAAAGTGATAAATTTTGACGAGAAAACAAAGGAGTAAGTACGGTTCGTGTAAGACATTAAATTTGGCTTGTGCTGATTCCATTCGGAATATTCTTTGTTCTTGGTTAAAGTTGCATCTCCATATGCAGATTTGAAGTTCTCGACGAGGAGCCAGGTGATGATGAAGAGGGCGGTGGCCAAAGGTAAGCTTTTATGCTTTATGTTTTAGTGTTTCGATAGATTCAGACCAGAATTCGAATCAGTTTAAGTATTTATACCACTAGATTGGGAGAGAACATAGATTTTGAAAGCACCTAAAAATACAAATTTTTGTTTTTGTTACTGCAACTTCAGGAAGTACAAGCTGCCTGCATCTTGCATTATACCGTTCCCCAAGCGGAACGATCCGTCTAGTACTCAAGAATTCCCTGCTGGAAGACAAGTTCTGGCTGTTTATCCTGGAACAACTGCACTCTATAAGGCGACTGTCATCAGTACTCCTCGAAAGGTAATGATTCCAGTCATCTCCATACTAATTCCGGCCAGTTGCTGCTGTTTCTATTTTACTTATATGTTGAACTGACCACTCATTTCTTGCATATATCCATGGGGGGACACCAACCATTTATATTTTTCCAGAGGAAATCGGACGAGTAAGTAACATCCTCGATTCTTGACCATCTGTTTGTTGATTACTGTTATTATTAGTTGATTAACTGTTGCTTTTTTCCCAGGTATATACTGGAATTCGACGATGACGAGGAAGATGGAGCATTGCCTCAGCGGACAGTACCGTTTCACAAGGTGGTTCCGTTGCCGGAAGGACATCGGCAATGAGATGTAATTTATATAAATTTGTATAATATAGAGCTGTAGCTGGCGTTTAAACCTGTGAATCTGACCTAATTTTCACGTGCCTTGTGTTATTTGATTAGTAGTGAAAGATTGCCACTGATAACTCTATTGCTACTTCAGTTCTTCATTACTTGTAAATGGCTGCCATTGGACTCGGTATTCGACTCAGTCGTTTGTTGATCCCGTTCCCGCTCAACTTTGTCAATAATATTCTAAAGGGTAAAATACTTTTAAAACACTTAACTTTGTCTGTATTTCTGTTTTGGTCACTCAACTTTAAAAAATTTCAATTTCATCATTCAACTTTCAAAATTGATATTTTGGTCACCTAGGTGTTAAATCAAAAACGGTGGTGGCATGACATGGGAAACGAAATGAAAAAAGGATTTAAGTGGACATTGTGGTATTCAAAATTGATATTTTGGTCACCTAGGTGTTAAAAGAAAAACGGTGATGGCATGACATGGGAAACTAAAAAATTTATTTTGAAAGTTGAGCGATGAAATTAAAACTTTTCAAGGTCGAGTAACCAAAACAAATACACAAGATGAGAGAAAGATCTAACACCTTCATCTCCACCTTTCTTCCTTCCCTTCCCTATAAAAACAAAGAAAAGATCTTGGTACCAATCCCACGTCTATTTAATCACCAGCTGCGATTCTCCGTTCAAACCAGAAATAATGAACCACTAAAGATCAACATAACCCTCTGTTTCATCAATAAATTGTATAATTTTCAACACATATATGATACACCAAAAAATAATTAAAATACTAAATAAAATAAGATGTAATGTGGGAAACTAGCATGGAGTAATATTGTGAAAGTGATATTATCTGATGTTGCTTAAATTTTACAGCTTGATCGGAGAGCAGTGATTATACCAGGTGGTCTTTATGCTGCATTATGGGGCAAAGCAAAAGAAGCAGAAGAAGTGAGAGATGAAGAGCGCTGTGGCTTAAGCCCCTTAGGACCCTCGTCTAGTGATCAGATTCCTTTGCTGCAAAGCATAATTGGACAATAAGTTAAGGCTAAACACCTCAATTTATTTTATTCGAAGTATACGCACATGGTTAAACTTGTGTTCCATTTTTTAAGTTTTTTTAAATATTTTAAATATTTTTATATATCCACGAAATCTTGATGTACAAGTACAACAGCTTAATTTAATGTTAGGGAATAGTAGAAAATAAGCGTTACCGGTTTTGTTATTTTTTTCTACCCGTTCTATTATTGTTTGGCACTTTACCGGAAATATTAAAAAACATTAAAGTTTTAGGTAGAAATAATAATGTTTTAGGTAATTTTTTACCAGTTTTGTTATTTAAATAATAACAAAACCGGTAATGTCTTTTTTTAGTTGTATATTAAAAGTGTCGCACTGTAGAACTTTCCTCTCAGAGAAATGATCACGTTAGACTCTAAACTGGAACGAACCGCTACCGGCTTAAATAGTCACATAATTAAACGTTAAGTACCAAACTGGAACGAAATAAACGTTAGACACTAAACTTAAACAATGGACATAGGTTAGACACCTTTTGTATATTTAAGCTTTTTTTATTACCCTCAACGAATAATTTGTTAAGCGTAAAATACACAAACAATATAACTATCTCCTATGTTTTCTTTTTGTTATAATTATAATTACAAGCGCTATGTTTCACTTCATCCATAATTTATCAGTATAAATAAATGTTAGGGTAAGTTACACATTTAGTACTTAAACTATCATTTTTAGTCCTTTTTAATACGTAAATTTTTAATTTTTTCGGAATCATACCTAACGTTTGGTTTTTATTTCATTTTAGTATATTACGTTAAAAATTTAAAGTGTATAGTACCTAAACTATCAGTATTGGTCCATTTTAGTACCTAGATTTTTTTCCAACTTAACGTTAAATTTTGAACGGATACTAAAATGAAACAAAAACTAAACTTTGAGTATATTTTTGAAAAAAATTGAAAGTTTAGGTACTAAAACAAATCAAAACTGATAGTTTAAATACCAAACACCCCCTAGATGTTAACAGTTTCTGTAATTATTATAACCAAATAAAATGATTTCCTCTAAAAATATATATAATATATAACTAAAAACCATGAAAATCGTTAAATTCTCCTAATCAGTTATAACCATTCCCTATATAAACCCACTGACTTTGCGTTGTATTCAAATCATTCATCAGTTTTGCAGTGTTTTTTTCTCGAGAGAAATAGTACTGCATTTCTTTTCGAATCATATAGATAAGCAAACGTATAAATCCACATACCCTTTCTTCTCAAATTCAACCAACAAACAAAAGCAAAAGATGACTCGCCAAATTATTATTGCCGTCGCCCTTGTTTTCTTGGCCGTCGTTGGGGCCTATGCGGCCCATACTAAGCCATCCCCTAAGGGGGAATCATCGGCGTCCCCCTCCTCCTCCCCCACCTCATCTCCCTCCTCGGGCAGCGCCGGCTCCACCGGCCACCATAGAGGCCATGCTCCTCCTTCACTAGACGCTCCCGCACCGGCACCATCGGATTCTAATTCTCTCAAAGCCTCCGGCGTCATTGGGGTTGCCACCGGTGTTGCCGGACTCTTCTTTTTCATTTAAGCTTTAATATCACACGTGCATGTATGCATGGAACATGCATGGACGTACTGATCATATAGTCACGTACGATTTATATATGATTTAAATGTATTAATTCGTGAAAAGCTGAAATTAATATAATGTATGAAAAGTCTTGAATAGTAAATAATATATAACAAGACTTTGGTGACTATTGTTTAATTCAACTCTCCCTTATTTTCAGTTATACGTATAATAAAGATTGATGGTAAAGAACTGGAATATAAATTATATTGAACATGAGTTTAATTTAAAGTTATTTTTTAATTATTTTAATTAGAAATAATAAATATATGAAAAGATAGTATCCACGCGGACGTGTCGAAGATACGTATTACCACGACACGACACGACATGACCCGACCCGACCCGAGACGGGACGGTGGTGCGCGAGAGTCCCCCTTGTTCTCTTCCACTCAACAAGAAAGTGAGAAATCTAAGTCTTAAATACCCAATCCCAATAGTGGTTCCAATACTATGTGGGATTGAACATTGCCAACACTTGGGAATCTTTTACACTATCGCAACACATTCTTTATTGTTTCAAACTAAGATATTACAAATGGCTTGGGAATCTTTTACACTATCGCAACACATTCTTTATTGTTTCAAATTCCACGTGAATTTGGAATAGTTAAAATGTAAACTTATTTTGGATTTTTCACTATCGCAACACTTTTTCACTATTGCAATAACACATTTTTCAAACTCTCGCAACACATTTTAACTATCGCAACACATTTTTTACAATCGCGTTGCGAATCTGGATATTCGCGTTGCGAATTTGAAAACTGAGTTGAAAAATTAGAGTTCATGTTGCGATTTTGTTGGTCATTTTGGCAAATCCAAAAAAAGTTGGTTAAATCGTATATTATAAGGCATTTTCGATCACTGGGGTTATTTTCTCTAATTTAAATAACTAATAGTTCTTATAAAAATAAATAAATCTTTAAATTTTCTGAAGAAAACAATTAAACGCTTGACTTCTTAAATGAATCAATTAAATTCATTTGCCATGTAATTATTCATCAAAAAGGCAAAAATTATCATAGATTATCAACATCAATAATGTGGTTACTACATTAATATCATGAATTATGACGTTGATATCGTAACAAGCAACAATAATTTTTATATATTAAAGGACCACATTAAATTTTTTCTTAACTTAAGGATCACATTGAGTGAAAAATAAGTTTACGAATTACATTTAAATTTTGTCTAAAAAATTGAGGGCCTCAATAACCATTAAAATTAATTTAATAAATTTTATTCTAGTTTATAAAAAAATATTTTCTTTTAATTCTCTATATGCTTTCACTTTTATAAATCAATTTCTAAAAAATTAAATTATTTTTATAATTAATATTCAATTAAACATATGACATCAAATAGAATAATCATTTAAGTATTATATGGTCATTATGATAGGGTCTCTAACCATGTTAGTAAAAGGTAACGTTCAACGCTAATGAAGGGCTTGATTGAATATATTTTTGGCTATAAGGAGTTAATTGGTAGCAACATTTTCATGAGGACTTAATTATTCTTCAACATTTGAATGAGGACTTTTATACAATTAAGCCTATTTGTTTTCAATATTATAAAACCCGAACGCTTTGATTTGACACCTAGAGGGGGCGGAAAAGGCAGAGAGTGAACGTATCCCCAAAGGAGGACCAAATACAGAAAGAAATGTCTTCGTCATTGGGTATTTCATTTCCCACCTCTGATTTTCTCTCCCTCCAATCAACCGGGAAAAATCAGCAAACAAGATGGCATCTTGGAATTCATTTCCGCTGGAAATCACATATGAAACTTTAGGTTGGCTTGCGTTTTTTTCGTGGTCCATTGGTTTCTATCCTCAAGTCATCTTAAATTTCCGAAGAAAAAGGTACCTTGAAATACCAGAATTCTAGTTTCGATATTTTTTTTACTCTGATCTTACTGTTTCCAATTTTTCCTTTTGTTTGTTCCAACTCTCAGCGTTATTGGGTTGAACTTCGATTTCGTGCTGCTAAATTTGACAAAGCACTCCTCTTATATGATCTACAACGTTTGTCTCTACTTTAGCCCAGTTATTCAGCAGCAATACTTTGACAAATATGGCTCTGGACAGGTTCTTTTTTAGTATTCCCTTTTCTATGTTGGGTTTTCATTATTTCTGATTCCTTTTTATGTTTTATACGGTGAATTAGTTGAATTTGTATAGCCAACTTTCAAAATTGTTGATAACATAAATCCATTCTCTTAGTTAATTTATGTTTGAGATGTTAGCTTAGTGTTATCAAGGCCAAGAATTATGATGAATTGAAACCACTTGTTAATGAGAATTTTTTCCCAATTTTCTTTTGTTTTGTTGACTTTATGGTTGATGCAGATGATCCCCGTAGCTGCTAATGATGTTTCGTTTTCTATACATGCTGTTTTGTTGACAGCTATTACACTGTTTCAAATTGTGATTTATGAGGTTAGTTTCACTAGCTTTTTCGTTGCTATGATGAGTACATTCCTAGTGTTTGTAAGTTGAAAAATCGATGTTTCATTGATGGATCGGTTTTGTGCAGCGTGGGACGCAAAAGGTTTCTAAGATTTCTATAGGAATTGTCTCTGTTGTGTGGTTAACCGCCGCCATTTGTTTCTTTGTAGCATTGCCTAGCCATTCATGGCTTTGGTTAATCTCCATTTTTAAGTAAGTTCCTTTTTTTTCGTTTTAAATCCTTCGTATCCATGTGAGGAACCGAAGTAGATAACATCTTGGTTTCGTCTTTGTCGATGATCAAATATATTCCTCAGGTTAGATGTTATCCTGTTTCATATGTTTCAAACCATTGTTAGAATTGCTGCAATTAGATTGCTGCATCATGGTTTTGATTATGGGAAAAAGTCCATTGGAACATAAGGCAGTGTATTTTCTAGAGCTGTTAAATTTCAGTTCTTATCGAGGAAAACGAGAAAATAAAGAACGAACAAGAATGATCTCGAAAAAGGGAAGCTGCTTTGTTTCCTCGAATCACACGAGGGTACATTGTTGTTTCCCATAATTTAACGAGACTGTTCTATCAATCAACATCACTGTGTAGTGTCCTTGGTCTTATAACACAGGAAGATTCTTGGTAATTGTCTTTAATTCATATACGAACTGAAGGACCTTGCTTGATCTTGCTGCTTACAGAGTTTGTGGCTTAATTTCAGGCATTCATGAACTTTGCACGAAAGAGTACAGAATGCTTGAGCATTGGAAACATTTTGCTCGATTTTACCGGCGGATTGGCAAATTATGCTCAGATGGCCATACAGTCTATAGATCAAAGAATGATTCGCCTTTACCAATTAATCCTATGGTCCAAAATTCTGCTTCATATAATAATAAGTTGATCGTGAGATTAAACTTTTTATTCAGATTCTTGGGTGAACTTCTACGGAAATATCGGGAAGACATTGATTTCTCTGGTATGTTATATATTCTCCACCATCCTGATTTGCTTTTATTATATGTTACTCCAATGCTGCATTGCTCTGCTCTCTTGATGCCTTTGCCAGTTAATACGTAATAAAGATGAACTCTGCTTGCAACATGGATCCATTGCTTCGAAGTTCGTCCCTAGACTCTTCGATGTTCTTTACCACAATTAACAATGGTGCAACTCTTTTTGCAGATATCCATAATCTTTGACATTATTTTCATGTGTCAACATTATGTGTTATATCCGGCTAGGAAAGCAACGGTTCCTTCTAAACTCGAACGAGAGGGCACGGAGCTGCTTGTCAAGTCCATTGACGAATCCGTGTCCGAAAATGTGTGAGGCTTTAGCAACTCGCCCAGCATTGAACATTGTATTCTACATGCAGGGAAAACAATTACACTATCATATGTAAAATTCATATCATTCTTGTTTTTCTTTTACCCTGTTGCACATAGAAAGGCCACACATCTTAGTCACTGTGAAACAAACAGATTGTGCAACTTATCAGAACATGTATCCTGAATCAATTTGCTGTATTGATTTCGTAGCACTCTTCATTGCTTTGAGATGATGAGTCAAAGTTAGCTCAAATGCATGAATTTATATTAGATTAACACTCTTGAAACTAGGCTATCAAAAACCCTAATTCTGGGATTTCCTTATTTTCTTAGATGAATTGTTTAACAAAGAAAGAACCCCTGAAAGAATGAAACAAGCTTATTGAATGGTGTAAATTAGAATTTTTCTCGTTTGGGTTCATTGGTTTTTAAGAATCATATAGCATTTTAGAGTGTTTTTTCTGTTTAAAGGATTATATAGCATTTCAGTGTTGTTTAATAAATATAGGTATTAAATTTTAAAATAATACAAGGACCTTCAAGTATATTTAAACTTTTTTCTTTAATCTAAAGAAAACAATAATTATTTTTTACATTATATAATTTAGAGGTTAATTAAACAAAAAATCATATTATATTCAAATGATTATGAATTTTTAAATGTAGAATAAAAATTAAAATTATTTAATTATTATCGACTAAAATCAAAGTTTAAGGCTTAAATTTTTCACCATTTGCACAGAAGTGAAAGGATAAGATTCTAACTGGTCAACATTCAACGGCTAAAGTAGGAAAAAGTCGTTGACTTTTCTACTTTGATTATGAATGTTTAAATGTAGAATAAAAATTAAAAGTATTTAATTATTACCTACCTCCTTGGCTAGCAAGGAAAATGACCAGACAAAACTCCTTGCTTCCCAAGCATATATAATTGTCCCATTTCTATGCCTCTATAAAGACAACAATGAAGAGGGACTCATCATTCAATTCCCAGCCTACATTTTTCAGGCCAAAAATGAAGAGGGAGGCTCGCCAACATGGTATGGTTCGGACTTACCCGATCCATCCATCTCCACGGAATCCGAAACCCGAAACACGACATGTTTCAAGTCTCGATTCGGCACCGTTTGCAGGATCATTTTCCGATTTGACATCAAAGGCCAGCAGCCATTCCAAGTTTACTGGAGAATGTGGGAAGTCACACTGGGTCCAGTGTCACATGAATCCGGTTAGTAAGTCCAAGGACAAGACAGAGGGTACTCAAAAGTTTAGGACAAGTAATATGGCCGGTTTTAGATTTTCCGGGCTCTCGGCTAATGGGGTTTTGGATTATTTGGATAGTTTTAATGAAGAATATGAGATCAATGATCATCAAGCAAATGATCATGATGAGGATGACTACAAGGATGGTGATACACATGTTGTGGTGGATGACAACGATGATTATATGGCTAAGTTTTGGTCTCTGCATGACAAACAGAACAACGATGATGATGATCATACGAGTTTTTTGTGAAGTGGGGTTCATGCTAGACATTGAAGAAGATGAAGGGTGGTGTTTAGTGGGAGAAATGTGATTTGTAGACCATCTATCATTACTTGTATGAGCTCTTGTTTGTATTCTTATCAATCTTTTTTTTTTTAAAGAAAAAAAGAAAAAAGAATCCTCAACTCTGTTGGAAGAAAGTTCCATTTTCCATGGGGTGTTTTGCTCACGCTGGCTGAGGGTTGCCTTGACCTTCCACTTACAGAAGCCTGCAGAACATAAAAGAAACCCGAGTTATCATCCACTGCAAGAACATCCGATTCGGAGCATAAAACCGGCAAACCGTTACGGTGCTCGGAGTCCTTAAAGGTGCGAGGCTTCTTTAGATGCTTTAGAATTTGAAGCAATTCTTGAACCATATATTTTCCTGGTAATAGTGTAAGTTAATCTACTGAGTTGTTTTGCATAGTTAAAGTTGATAGACTTATGACTCAATTTCAGAGTCGATCTCTTTCGATGTCTGTTGCAAACTTCTTGGCCAACGGAGTGAAATTATTAAAGGTCTCGAAGAGGCTGTGGCCATCCAAATTTTTGGGAGTAACAAAATTCTAGATTATTTTTAATTTAAACATTAATCAAATAGGATTTTTTTAATTTTTAGATTTAAGTATTTATTAAATTTTTATTTTTTCAATATAAAATAATTTAATTTCTCCTGATGTCTAATTTTTTTACGTGAAAAATAGATTTGCTTTATTTGCATGAATCAATTCACATATACGCTGCAATTATTTCAACTTTATTTTAAAACATAAGTATTCCAGTTACAAACATATTTTGCCCCCCCCCCCCAAAAAAAATAACCAGAGTGTCTGAAACTCAAAGCAAAACCTCCTAAACCAATGGTTCTAAGCAAGTATAACGGTATATAACCAGGCACAGACTTAATACGAAGCAATCACCGTTAAAATACCGGTAAAAGCAAGGCGGGTACGACGTGAAGTTATCTTAGGTAAGATCATCTTCCTCCAGTTCCTTAGCTTTCAGCTTTTCCTTCACCCGCAGTAAAAGGGTTGTCTTCCAAGAATCCTGCAATGTGTATTGTGTAAACAGAAAACACATCATAATTCTCATTTCATACAAGAAACATTTGTGATCGAAATTGACATACCAATGGGGTCATGCTGTCAAATTCCTTGAGAGCATCGGTAAACTTTGTGATATCTTCCTCGTCCATAGCAGAAGCAATGTCCTGTCATGGAAAGCATCAGCTCATTACCATATGAATTTCAAGGGTAAGGCCAGATTCTCAAAATTGCTACCGGTGAATCGTAGGTTAACAAATTTTCTGGTTCAGATGTAAGGCAGTAACCAGATATATCATCAGCCAATGCACATGAAAGGAAAAGATATAACAAATGGCAAAAATGTAACCACTGAATAGGCATCTTTAAGCAACCAAAAATTCTAATCACATCAAATCCTTTAGCAATAGAAAAATAAATTATAAAATATATATATAAAAAATGTTTCCTTGTGATAACTTACAGTTAATAATCTACACTCTCGAGTTCCAGAAAAAGTTTGATCCAGATCCTGAAGAAAGTAAATGTAGATATAAGTTAAACAAAACCAGAGGTAAATATGCTTTTACGATGCCAAAAAGTCAACCTGATATCGCTCTAATGCATTGGTTATCGCAACGACATCTCCTTTGCAGAGTTGACAAATGCCAGCATTAAGGAGATGCCCCTTAACTCCATACTTCAGCAAGTTGTTAGTAACTTCCTGCCGAGCTATATCTTCATAGATCTCAATGGCTTTCTGGTATCTGAAGAAATTCAAAAGTAGAGCTGTAAAAATTTATCAAATTTTACATGGGGAGCTGTATGTATCTGAGCAGACAATCACAAAATCATAGCAAGAACAACATTTATTAGAAGTGAATATGCTTACTGTTCTATCTGAGCAGCAAACTGTGCAATTTTCTGCTTGCACTGATTGGCAGAAGTAGATACTTCTTCACTTTGGAAGAAATCTGCAGCCTTTTCGTAATAATCCATGGCCTGTTCAATGTTTTGTTCAGTCTCGTATAGTTCAGCAATTTCCTGCACATAAAAGAGGCATCCATATCTATCAATAACCGTAAGCAACATCATGATACAAAGTAGTGGATTTTGAGGGAAATCAAAACCAGTACTATGAAAAAACATGAATGCCTACGATGACTCTGATAACTTATATTTTCATTAGATTTTTAGGTATTAAATCTAGTTTTAGAAATATTTTCTCTTCAATATTTATTTATTTTCTTCCTGGTTATAGTTGAAATTTATTTCAATTATTTTATAGAGTTTAATATGAATTCAGACTAATAGATGACTTTTTTTCGTCCCAAAGGATCCTAATGGGTTGGAGCGCCATTAGAGAGCACACGAAAACAGCCAGTTTTCAGCCCCAACGGAAGTGACTGCCTGCTCCAACGGGGACATAAAAAATCCTATTTTTTCCAATTTCGAGGTTTAAAAGGATTTCTTTGAAAATACAGGAAAAACTCACTTTGACGTAAGAAAGTACCCAAGATTCAACAGATTTTCAATTAGAATATACCTGTGTCAGACACATATCTATATCTCGACCCACACTAACAAGGATAAAAATTCAACCAAAACAAAAGAAAATGAAAAGCTATAAAATTATGTTTGCATATGAATCAGAAACAATACCTTAATACCTTGCAGCCATACTGAGCCTTCCAATATCACAAAACATGTTCACTGCCTGCTGCAAGCACGATATAGCCTCTGTATACAAACACAATTTAGTAACGGGCAGCGATTTTCACCAAGTGAAACTATGCAGAAATCACTTACCCTTTGGCGAAGTTTTCTTATAGCAATGAGCAGCACTAACATACGCTTGAGCAGCTTCATGCTGGCTTTCCAACTACAGATGGGGGGACGCAAATAAAAGGGTCAAATTCAATCTTACAAAACAGTTAATTACTATGAATTAAATGCTATTTTGCTCAAGTTCTTACTTTTAAATGACAATTTGCTAACTTTACATAAATGGATCCAGCTCTGTCCCCTTGAGAAAAGAAAATATATAGAGTAAACTTAACAGCTTTGTTTTACAAAATAAATTTCATCACATTACAAGTATCCATTGAATTATAAAGTAATTAATCCATACTCAGATTTTAAAAGAACCTTGAATTTAAAAATCTCTAACAGAATCAGAACAAAACAACTACTTTAATTCTTGACACAATCGGGGAATAAAAATAACAATTAAATGTTGGGAATAACAACAATAATAAAAATATTTGATCGCGCTAAATAATTTTTCCTCTAATGTGAATCGCCCCGATAGAAACATTAATCATATAATTCAGATTAAGATTTCTGCCTCGCAAAACTTAATCAGAAGATCTCGAATTTTCATTTTTATCACAATCCAACAATTCTCGAGAAACAAACAGAACACAATATTTAAAAGATCAACGATCAAGGGAAAAGGGGGAAAAATACATGATTTGGCGAGCTTGAAGAAATTGGCAGCTTTTTCAAAGAGATCGGCGGCATCTTCATATTTGGAGCCAAAAAAGTTCCAGCTGTTTAGCTTGTTCTCTGCGTTTTTCTCGAATTCTTCTCCTTTGGCTGATTGATCTCCCATTTCCCCCCTTCTTTCTCTCTTTGTTTTGATCAAAAATGAATTTAAAAAAAATAAAAACATATAAGAATTTAGGAGCCTTATGATTTATTGAAAATAAGAAGACAGATATATGTGAAAATTGACTGTTCTCGCTCTTTTCTTGAATGGATTTTCTACCTCTGATGTAGTTGAAAAATTTAATTTAACCATTATATCCATAAATCTAATGTTAAACAAATGTTTAATAATAATAATAAATTTAAAATGAAAATGAAAATGAAAATTTATTATCTAAACATAAACCCTGCTTTTTAACTTATTTAAATCATGTCTTCATATAAATTTTATATAATTTACATATTAATTAATAACTTATAAAAATAGTTATTCAAGGATTGAATCTATAATTGTAGTTGATCCAAGAGACTTTCTGTCATGTATTTTAGTACTATAACTTTTTAAAGTTACAAGAGAGCCATTTAACTAAAATATTATCATAATATCATTGATCATTAAATAGTGTCACAATTTTTAAGAAAAAAAGGGATTTAGAAAAAAAAAGATTTTAGAGAAAAGATTTCATTCAAATTCATCATCATAAACTCCTAGTTACAATTCTGTTGCATATATATATTGCCAACGTTCTTTTATTTGCTTACAAGTGACATTACTCTTGTCTTGTAGTGTAACAATTCATTCAACAGTTAGATTTTCCTCAATTGCCGTGGAAGTGGGCTCTGCAGCTGGATTCCTCAAATTCTCTTTCATTTCTTCAATTTGGGCCTTTTCCTTAGCTTGACCCACTAACCTCTTTTCTTCTTTTTTTATCATCCATTGATTGAGCCCCACTCTTACTCCTAACCCGTATTTTTCTTTTTTTCTCGGTTCTCTTTTTCCTCTTTCCTCGATCCCTAATCCCCTTAACCCTAGATGATGTTGATTTTCCCCAATTTCACTTCTCGTTTCTTCCTCTACCATGATAATACCTCCCTTCAACTGATCTTTGTCCCTAAGGATCAAAATCTAAAAATAAGATCTTCAAAATAGAATAGTCGCATCCTCTGCTGTCAAATTCATCCATTGAATTAACAGTTGTGTCACTGTCTGGTTGTTTCGCTTAACAATACACTTATCCAACACAAAGGTGGGGTAAGCCCTTATTTGACCATCAACACCAGTTCAGGGGATCAATCAAGGTTAGTTGTTGTTTACCAATCTTCTGTTTCAAAAGATTAAGGTGGAAAACGGGATGAATTTTTGAATGAGCAGGCAACTCAAGTTTATAGGCTACTGATCATGTCTTCTAGATTACTTTTTAAGGGTCATAAAATCGATCAACGAGTTTTAGATTTCTTTAAAACGCCAAGGACGTCTGTTGAAGCGATTAAAGTTTAAGGTAAACGATAACTTCAACCTGAAACTCTTTTTCAGTTCTTTTTTTG